GTGAGGGCAGGATTTGCCATGGCTCTCGTTTACTTTGTTGAAACGGGCTGGCAACTGCTTGGAAGATCAAAACTGCACCTTGAGCCACAAGAATTTAGGAACTCTTTGCTGGATAATTACTTGGAACCCGGCCCAATGCTGCATGTGTTTGAACCCACGGTGTTCTCACATCACTCAGCCCATGCGACTCCGCCGCCTCTCCCAGGAAGCTCAACAGCGCATGCTTCGGAACGTGCACAGATCCTGGGGACGCCCCCGGCGACCGCGACCAAAACACACGATCGAAGATCCGAGACCATCCGCGGGACTGGAACAAACGGTGTACTTTTAAACATGAAACATTAACCATGCATTACATGTTTATCAGACTTACATGCATTCATTAAACATTAAACCATCATTGACCCCAAGGACTTAAAATAAAAAAAAGTTGGGGTATACAACTATATTTCAGCCCCATGGATGGTCTGGGAATTCAATTGTCCAAGGTGGAACGCGGTGGGTGCCAAACAATTGCCTCATGAGAATTGAATCCTCTGTGCAGAATTGTGCAGGCAGATTTCTCAAAAGCTTACAGAGTGTTAATCGGTGAACCTTCCATTCCATCAAAAGAAGTCATCAAATAGTTCCAGATTCCCAAACAAACAAGTTCTCTCATGTGTTTCTGGCGGTCAAAAGGCACCGTGTTGCCGTGTTGCCCATGAGGTCCTCGATTCGAATTGACGCTTGCTTTCAAACGTAGTTCAGACAGAAGCTGCAACACTGCCGGTCGTAGGATGGACTGCCCACCTCCAAACGACGGTCGTTGACCCCAAACTCTCTCGACGCGTGGAACATGGTACGACGCGTTGGCCCCGACAGTCACAGTGTCTGTCGACCGTTTCCGAACATGGGATCTAAATCGGGCTACTAAGCTACGTACTACTTCCAAAAAACAAGTCGTGCGACATGACATGATGTCTAAAATGTCTAACGAGCTCTTCTGAGATGAGGTTCAGTCAGTCGGAATTTCTGGTGGTGGCATCAGTGGCTGCTTCCTATCCTTTCAAAAAAAAGAACGTTCCTTTTTTCCGCTCTCAACCAACGAACTCTCGGCCTTCCGAGTGGCTGCCACGTCCCGTGACCAGCACGAGGCCTGACCGATGGGGCGGCGCGGGGAGCCAAATTGAGCAGACTCTCAAGTACAAGGTGAGCTCTTGGCTGTTACCACCAGCCCGATTTGGAGGCTCCAATTTGGAGGTGGAATCCGCATCTGAACGTTTGGGACATGAAAGAAACAAATATGGATCATGTTGGTGCATGCCTTGAGTTTCCAAAGTCTCGTTCAGAAGTGGAGCTCTTGTGTCGTTTTCACGATCTTCGGCCTGTCACTGGCACTTGGGGCAGCAGGGCAAGGTCAAGGAGGGCGCAGCAAACGGCCAAGCGTGCCTATAAGAAGGATCAAAGACTGGGGAGCTCGGGTGTGTGAAAACAGCTCCAGGGTCTGTCTGTCTTTGAGAATTTATTCAATTACTCATTGAACTTCGCATTCTATGAGCGGCCGAACAGGACAGCCCACGCTCTGATTCTGGCCAATCTTGATCTCTGGACCAATCATCAAAGCACCAGGCCGATGATGTGGATGATTCTACTGTTTTCGTTCTAGAGGTAGTACACCTAAGATTGCTCTTTACAATGCCCCTAACTTCTAGAAGTTCTCATCGAAATGGTACTGCTAGAGACTAGTACCATTGCATGCCGCTGCTCTACGTGGGCTGCGGCATTGCCTCTTCGGGTTGTAGTAAATGCAAATCCACCACATTGGGCTGCCGCTGCGCCGTTCCACGCAGCGGACGTTCTCGGTACGCCGCCTGGCCGGCCCAGACCCCCCGTTGGCTTCACCGAGTCATCGGATCCCGTCCCGCCAGGGCCGTGGGCAAGTCTCCGGCGTCCAAGCAGCTGGCCATGTAGGAGGCGCGGAAGAGATCATCCCGAGCACTGTCCTAGCTCAATCGGGTGGGAACGGGGAGGTGAAAGCCCAAAAGAGGCCCATGTAAAACGCCGCTGTTCCCCAAAAGGGACCATCTTGTTGACTCTGATCGTTCTGCTGCGTTTTGACCATGTGCAGCATCTCCAATTGCTTTCTACACCAACATGAGTCACTTGCGAGGTCTTGTATACAAATCGTGTTTGTTAAGTTCTGAGGACCTAAACTTGATTCATGCACTCTCAAAGAGCAAAGAAGGCCAAGGCGGCCAAGGGAAGGAAGGGATTATATGTTTATACTCTGTTCTTATCATTTTCTCCGCGTTTGAAGCTTTAAACTTTAAAGCCATTCTGGAACTTAGTGACCAGCTGAGGCGCCGGGGTTATCTAATATAACAATCTCAATGCTTTGGACACCGGACCAGATCAGTCAAAAAGTCTTTCGGACTGTGCACGTACATCTGATCATGACCACTCCACATATAAGTTCCTGTGTTTCAAGGGCATCCCCAACATATCACCGGCATCTTGCCTCAACTGATCATGGAGCCGAAGAATGCTATAGTGAACAGGAGGACATAATATGACATAATATGTATATTCAAAAAACAAAAAACACACACGATATGAGCTGGACCTGGATCCAGGATGATCAAGTATGGAGAACCAAATAATTTCATCAGAATGATTTTGTCAAATGTCCAAACATGTCCAAACATGTCCAAACCCAAAATCTGTTTAAGGTTCCATTTAAAAATGTACAGGATTGGTGCCAGCCAGCTGTGGGGAAGGGCGTGGTAGTTGACCTGTGTGACTTAGCCTCCCCTTCGGTCTGCCATACAGCAGAAACGCTCCCACCACTGTTAGACCAAGCAGGTTTGGAATTGACGACTCACCAATCAGACATACACCTCGCTGCATTTCTGACTCGGCAAACATCACTGAATTCAGATTCATCAACAGAGGCGGCAAACCTCTGACCCTAACAGTTTGGCGATGCGTCAACCGACAAACCAGACCACCCAATCCGAGGACACCCCTCCAATTCCCCCGCCTCGGACTGCTCGAGCAAAGCCAGCACCTGGTGCCACTGCTGCGCCTTGCGACAGGCCGAGACCACCACAGCGCGTGTCATCCTCGGCGATTTCATGGGAGAACCACGTGAAACTCATGGACCGTGGATGACTCATGTAACACTTGTAACACCTCAACCAGTCATACGTAGTTTCCATGGCAACCAGTTTGAGGTGTGCCTTTTACCATGAATTGGTCCAGAGTAGTCCCCAAACCTCAACCTCAAGCTTGAAGGACACTGGGCTTTTGGGCTGTCAAAACCAAAGCATGCCAAAGCAGTGATCTGTGTTCTTTTCGACAACAAACGGCTCGATTCACCCTGAGAGTCGAACACACTTGGCTGTAGTCCTCCGTGGGGAGGATGGACACACTAATCAAGAGAGGTGTGCCTATTTGGGGCACAAGTGGTTGAATTAAATTGGAAACATGAAAAATGCTGTCAAAACTAGTTTATTTATCTAAAATTGGACAAGCTCGGGCTTTGGAGATCTAGCAAAAGGTATCCCCCCTGTTTGTTTGGAAACGCCTGGAAGCACGTAATCATCAACACTGAGGTCAAATAATGTTCTCTGTGACACGTCTGATGTCCCAAGCATGGGCCTTCTTTGGAGGCATCCACCAGACATTGAACTGCTGCTTCCCAGGATGAATTCAGTTCGTGGACCGATGCCAACGCATTGAACGTTCCATCCATCCAACGTAGTTTCCTGCAGGTCGTGGTATCATCATGGTTCACATGAACCAAGCACCAGGTCCAATAAAAACACCGAGTTGACCATCCCCCCTTCCCGGGAGCGTTCCAAATGATCCTACTCCCGGCCATGTGCCGATTGACTGCGTTGTGATGGGCCCTCACTTGGCTCAGTGGCTCAGTGTTGGTTTTCTCACGACGCTTTAAAGTATGGTTCGGAAGTTCGGACCATGATGCTCTTGTTGTTTCCTTGCACGTCCCGCGTTCTGGTCGTGAGTCGAATGCTTGGAAATTGGCCTCTCAATAGGCCCATAGGCACCAGGTCCCTGACCCTTCCTGTGCGCGGCAGGTGCGGTGCGACCCGCTGGAGCAAGTTTGGCATGCGTGGTCAGCCAGCGCTGAGCAAGTGTTGGTTGGTGGGGTTCTTGCGAGCGTGCGATGGGCTTTGTTCCCAGCATTCGCCAAGCTGGCTCGCAAAAAGGTATTGGCCAATCGGTGCTTGAGCACCAAGCTTGTAGAGTGCACAGAAAGGCATGCGTAAGAAACCAACAAAGCGCTGGAAATGACACACCAAATGAGATTGAACAAACATGAAAAAACAACTCGGGGCCTTGCCAGGGCTTGGGGTGTGGCCCACCTGGTCAGGAACCTTGAGCGGCGAGCTCTCCGAACCAAGTTCTGTAAACATCGGCGACAGCCGACTCGGTCACATCCATGTTCCAGGCGCCAGACAGCACCCACCGCAAATGAGGAATCGAAGCAAGCCGCTCAAGTAAGGACCCTGGCCTTCTATAGCCAGTGACGACAACCAGATCAACCCACCCTGGCCCGCCAAGTGAGTCGAACTATCAACCGTACATTGCGCATCAGCCGTGCGCCACTCCTTATAACAACCAAACAAGCCCAAGGGTCAGCAACAACAATGAACAACCGCAACTCCTCCTTTGAGGGTTTCTACGCTGTCAGCCACCCGCAACAAATACTCACTCAAGTGGGATGCGATTCACCGCCGCACAACAATCCCAGTAACCGCTGTGGCCCGGTCCGAGATTGCCCCTTACAGCGCCCACAACTCATACGAGCCAAACAAAACACTACGGAACCAAAGAAGTGCTTAATTCTTTACTCCCGGGGGGAGAAACCATACAGTTAGTCTTTTACAAACACATTGCAGCACAAACTTCTGTTCTTGGGACCAATCAACCGCTCTCCTCCTGTTCATCTCATCCAAAAGCTCATAGACCAACTGCCATCGACCGCCTTGCACTGCACAACTCATGGTGGTGTTGAAGGAGATGGTGTTCGGCCTCAACGTGCGCCTGGCGTGCCAAAGCTAGGCGAACCGCCTCGAACCATGAGAGACCGCGCCGCTCCCTTAGTGGCTCTAGGGGGAACTCCAGGATCACAAGCGTTAAGTTCCTCTACATGCGAGTCTAGCACCAGGTGTCGCTCGCATGTTGTCTTCGTGTGGTTCGTGAAACTATGAAAAAGGGCCCGACCCGCTTTCGGGGGCCGAATAGCAACCCTTTCGAAGTCCAGACAAAATGTCCTCCACGGAACAAGATCCTGGATCACCTGGGGATGTTGACCTCATTTCCTTCCAACCCATGCCAAGCGCCTGGGAAGAGAGTGCAGCATCGCCAGCGTGTCCTGCCAACCCTTGTTCTGCGCCAGACTGGACAGGACGATGTTTGCCTGGCACTCTGGACCCGGCTCTTGGACCTATGTGAACCATTGTGAACCATCCACTTACAGTAGTCCATTCTTCATTCCAAAGCCAACCCCACCACCCACCAATCCATTCCGCGCCGTGAAGACGTCCGCTTGGAGCGCCCTCTGCGGGAGCCCTTCAGCAAGCGCCAAGGCGGTGGTCCAGCTGCTGCCTGGCGCAGTCGAAACACAAAGGACGCATGGGGACGCGAAAACCAAGGAACATCTGAAAACGACGTTTTGGAAAGACCTTCTCCATCTCACACAGCATCAGAATGCAGAACGAAAAGAATGCCAGAAAAATCATTAAGGAACGCCATAAAGCAAAATGGTGAACTGATGTGAACTAGATGCCACTTTGAAGGTGTTGGACGTACAGGGCTACAGTCCATGTATACACTCTGATACTATATAAAGAAAACTGCTCTTTCCGTCCTTGTCCGTGGCCCACCTCGACAGGCGACCGAGGCAGTGGCATTCACCAGAACCAGGTCCGGCACGACCGTGAAGCGGCGGCTCTCCTCGAGGAAAGGCGCGATCCGCGGATCGCGCGCGCGGCGATTCGGGGCATCCGGCCCATGAGGAGAGGCCTCTTGTTACTGGTAGCGATGCGCTTGCTACTGGTAGCCTCTTGGCTGCACTTCCGTTGACTTCATTCAATGACTATGATCACGTGCGATGATGTGACTCCTTTGGTCCCAGCCATGGGTTGTATAATTACAGCCAGCAAGGTGGCTTGTCCTCTAAGGGATCTGTTTTCGGATTCGCCCCGGATGATCTTTCTGAGATGCTCAGCATAGAAGCTCCTTCGGGTCCGGCTATACACTGCTTCTTTGCACATGGGCGAACTTCACCTTCGTCGGGAGGCCTCCTTTGACTCCAAACACAGACTTGTCAGGTTTGGCTTTTCAGGAGCTTCGCGTCGATCCCACCGGGCACCGCCACCGCGTCGATCCCTCGTGTCCGTCGTCACGACTATGCATCTGGACATCGGACATTCTCCGTCATCGCACTGGGGCCACGATCTATGATATGGAGCAACAAAGCTGCCCTTCAAGAGGTCTCAAAAGGCTCAAACGACAGTGGGGACTGACATCTTCCTGTTTACATCTCCTTGACATCTTGCCAAAGTTGGAATCTTCCAAAGACCTAAAGCTCTCCCCTCCGCTGCGACTCCCCTGCGACCTCCCGTTGCGCTCACCCAAAAAAGCACTCCGGTGTCATTCGCCTCCAGGACCTGCAAAGCCTTCGCCCAGCGCGGGGGCCCCAGGGCCTCCACCAGCGCGGCCAGCGTCACCACCGAGGGCGCCAGCTGACGCTGCAGCATGGCGGTCAGCAGGGCCACAGAGGTCTGATGAAGGATTCGGAGGATGGATACACACGACTGCTGCAAAAGCCTGAAAAGCTTGTGTTGGGCAGCATTAACAATATGCCAAAACAAACCAAAACCATCCAAAACCACATCTAATAGTAGATGCCGTTCCCAGCACACTGTCAGCCTCCCATGCACCGGTCTTGCAGGCCATCATTCCAGCGTTGCCTGAGTGAACTCCCATGACCGTTTGCGAGCACTCACTTTGGAATAACTGCTGTATACAACATTATACAACTGCCTGTCTCAAGTTTCCCACCGAGCTACATGCCACTGTGTCCAGCTGAAGAGCACTCTGCTCTGCATCGTCCAAGAGTGCCACAGCTGCCTCTCCGTACTTGATCCACCAAAAAAGCAGCAGCTTCTGCACTTTTACCCTGTAGGGAATAACCCTAGTGTGTACTCCGCCACGACTGTAGAGAAAAAAATATGGTGTGCAAAAGACCTCTCCGGGGATGTCTATCTCTCTCCCGCTTTCACCACGACTCCTCCGTCGCCGCAGCTCAGCCGCACCTGCCACTGCTGTGCCTCGCCACAGCCGCTCAGCACGGCGCTGAAGATCTTCAAGTGCAACGGCACCGCGTCACCTGGCGGTCATGGCTTTAAGGATCTTACTGCAACATATGGGTTCTGGGTCAAAATCTTTAAACATATTTGTACCCAAATATGGATAATATGGGTGATATAATCAAGACTATGAGCAGCTATGAGCTTAGGCGCCCCGGTACGCAAAACGTAAAACGTAAGGTTCCGCACGTGTAATCCAAAACGTGCAGCCCCCTCCCAAAGTCCAGGCCCCATCCAAACACCTGCATTTACTGTCCACGGGTAAATGTATCTGTGTGGTCTGGAGGTCCACTTTGCGGAAATATGTTCGTCCTCCAAAATAGAAACTAATAACTATGGGCTACTGCTGGACGCTTTTCTCTCACTCTTGGAAATGCATTTGGACATTGTTTGTGTCCAAGCTATAGGGCTATGGGGCGCTACTGGATGCATTTTTCTGGCCCTTGAAAATGCATTTGCGACTTTTCCGTGTCCGAACTATGGGCTACTGCTGGATGCTTTTCTCTCACTCTTGGAAATGCATTTGGAAATTGTTTGCGTCCAAGCTATAGGGCTATGTGAAAATGCATTTGGGATGTTTCTGTGTTGAATGGCCTTCTTCTGTTTATGCATGAGGAAGTTCCAAAAACGCATCTGAGCTCCAAAACGTGGGAACGTACGGCTCGAAACGTGAGTTTTAAAAACGCAAGGTTCGAACGCACAAAACGTAAGTAACCAGGCAGCTAAGGCTATGAGCATGTTGGCAAGACCACTATGGTTCCCGCCATCACCCTTTCTCATGAGTAGGCCCCGAGTAGGCCGTGGGTTGTGCTGCACACCTGAAACCTTGGCTTGCACACGTTTCATGAAGAACTCTCATGTGGTTCAGGTTTTAGATCCACACCCATGGAACTGCCATTCCTTATCGCACATCAGGTTTTGGGAGACCAGTTCTGCTAGTTGCGACCCACTGAGAAGTGAGAAGTGGAAGTAGGACGGCTGAAGGAAAAAGATTCACAAAGGGTCCCGGAATTAATTGTTTTTTGTTGTAGTTTTGGAACTACTTTTGTTTTTTGGTGCTGGTATAGCTCGAATTGCAGATTTCCTGGTGAGCAGCGTTAAATGAACCTCGGAGTGCACTGCGGGAAGCGCTGATCTTAACATCTAAGTCTTATGTCAAAGAAGCACAAGCAGGAACGCAAGGAAGCTGTGAGAAACAGCATGACAGCATGATAAAACAACCAAGCAAGAAAAGAGGCACAAAAAGCAGCAAAAGCAAGGAAAGAAAGAGGATTCACAAAGCAATAATGAAAAGCAAGGACAAGTAAAACAAGCACAGAAAAGCAGGAAAAGCAAAGAAGCAGTGAGAAGCAAGGAAAGCAACACAAGCACAGAAAAGTAGGAAAGGCAAGAAAAGCAAAGAAGCAGCAGTGAGAGGCAAGGAACAGAAAAACAAAAAAGAACTTCCAAAAACAAAACGGAAAAAAAAAGCATACCCCTCCTTCACAAAGTGTGAAACATGTAAGAAGGTCTCAGTGTTGGTGTATGTTGGTGTCCCAAAACGGATCACACCTTGTAAAGGTGAACCAAAATGTGGTTTTTGGCTTGAATCATCTCTTGACCCCAAACTTCTCCGATTGGGAGGGGAGGACACGAAAAAGCAACTGATGGGCGGTTCTCGGCCTCGCATGGTCTGGATGAGCTGTAGACCTTTGCTCCACTGTGTGGCCCTTCCCAAGGTGGAGGCCACCAAGCCATAGGCCGTGCTGGAGGGCCTGGAGGCACGGGCAGGGCAGAACGGGAGTGAAGGGTCATGGCTCCGCCAAGCTCGTGCCGTGCGGCTTGGGTAGATGTAGACAATGTATAGAAGGGCAATGAAGGGCATTACTAGTAGCAAGAAGCTATTAGGTTGGAGGCCATCGCTCTTAGGTTGGAGGGGTAATGTATAGATATACTGCTTGGAACAATTTGCGGTGGGCCAACGTGGATGACCATGAGTCTTCGGAAGACCAAGCATGCGGAGTCCAGTTCGATGATTTCAGGGAGTGTACTCGGAATGGGGTTACTCGGACTGTCTACAACCTGTCCCAGCCGCGGTGCCTGAGGCTGTGCATCTGCATCTCATCCAACAACTGGACAGACCATTCCTGAGGTCGGTCCAGCCAGGTGGCCAAGTGCATCTCAAAGGTCGGTCAAAAAACAAGTTAAGCGCTTGTCGGAGACTTTCCAACACGTATCAACACACCACTGATCCAAACAAGCCACGAGAGCTGTTCATATTCACGTGTTCACAAAGTCACCTTCCGCAAGGCCACCTACTGCCACATTGTAGCGCAGTTGCTAGGACGGATTTCAAAACCCACCAAAGCCCGCTCTCGCGATCGCTGATAGCCGAAATCCTGCTGAGGCTCCCATTGCAAGCCTTTGCGGCAAGCCTGGAGGCTATTTTGGTATGTCTTCCAATGCACTTGCCTAGGCACAATGACTCTGAAGGTCTGGCAGTCTGGCAAGAGCATTTGAGGATGGAGGCATTTGCACAAGATCTTGTTTGAAATGGCAAACCACTCGAGGCATCTCAAGACTGGCTTAGGTGGATGAGGTGACCTTGAACGATTCTTATTGGTGAGAGTGAGACTTCCAAGATCCTGGAATGAATTCAAACGCACCGAGATGCACAGTATAGTGGATCCCTTATATTTAGCCTATAAATACGTACACTCTTGAATAAAGAGCTGCCTTCACCTCCCCAAGACCTTCTCACGCTCACCATCCCCAAATCACGGCGTCACGGTGAAAACTGTGGGGTGTTGCTGAAGGTCATCAGGATTGGGTGAGTGACTTGTCCTTGTTCAAGAGAGAGCTGCAGCTGCACTTTGACACTTTGAGATTCCGCGGCCACTTTGTTGACTACTTCCCACTTCATGCTCCGTTCACGTCCATGAATTTTTGGCACCCCAGTGTAGCTATGTCCGTTCGCAGCCCATCGGCCCATTCCGTCGCCCAGCGGCTTCTGCGCCAGGCTGATGGCCTGCTGCCACCGGGCCTCCTCCGCCAGGGCCATGACCACATCTGCGGCACTTTCACCCCGCAGGAACCGCGGGTTCCGCGCGGCAGCGGCATGCGCGGCGCGCATAGTTCGCCAGGCCATGCCATGGTACTCAGGGTGAGATGAGATTGTTTGGATTTCCAAGGTGGTTCTGGAGATGTTTGCTTCAGAAACAGATGCAGAAATAGATGGCTCAAGAATTTGAAGCACAAAGGTTCCATTGTTGGAGCCAACGTCCTTCGAACAGGAACACACTTTAGTCACTAGTCTGACTGGAGCCTTTGAGCTGGTCAACGGTGGAGTCAAACGTGTGCATATTGTAAGCGCACAATGATCCACAATGATCTGGTGGGGGTATACCAAGCCATGATCAAACCACAACCATAGAGAAATCATTGTAATTGTATGCAGCCTTGCCAAAGAATCTAATCTACAAATGGATGAGTGTAGACTGGAGGCCTGGCATCTGCTCCAGTCACTTCTGAGGCCCCCGAATTTGCGTCACGGATCACGGAAAGGATTTTCACCACGGAAGCTTGCGGATGCCGCGGCTCATGGGTTGACCGTCTTGGTCATCCAACATTTGGAATCATTTGCTGCGAAGCGCGCCTGAACATTTAATTTTAAGCTGCCTCCCAAAACAGAAACGGCAAACACCCAACCAAGAACACTCTGTCCATCAAGCAATTATTTGGAATTTGGAGGCCATTCTCTTAGAATGGCAACTTCTTGAACATCCAAGCATCTTCTTCCAGACGATCCACCTGGCAGTGACTTCTTTGACTCCTTCAAAGGACCGATTGTCATGCATCATTTTGGACTCGCATCTCCCTTCCCCACGAGGTGTTTGTCTTTGGTTGGATCCTTAAACCAATGGCTCAATGCAAAGGCGCTTTGGTGGCGCTTTGGTGGTGATCTCCACCCCTCCGTTGGTCCCAAAACTCGAGCAAACGAAGACACACATACCCAACCTCTCGTCTCAGCTCAACCATGATGCCTTCCATGACCTGTCGAATCGAGCAGGACAGCCACATATTCCCAGGTACATGGCCAGTGAGAAAGAAGATGAAAAGTAATATTTGCATGGCCGGTGTATTGGGTGCTAGTAAAGTGCCACTGGAAGCAAAAAATGGTACAAAAACATGGTGCCAATAACTGGCCATCAACACATTGACACCTAACGGGTGCGGAACAATTTCAGCTGAAGAAAGGTGAACATCCTGGTCCCACACCGTTCAGAAGCTTGTACTGGCAAAGAAATCTACATGTTCGACGATGTTCTTTGCCCTTTCAAGATTCGTAAGGAAGTGATTCATTGCTGAACAAACAATCCCGCCAAAAATCAGTTATATAGTATGCTGCAGTATCCCTACCAATAACATACTACACAGTGCAGCTCCGACAAACGGTACGTACTAGTTGGGGAAGTCATCCAACATGTTTCCCTGAGTCCTGCCTTTTGTTTGATCTTTCTGTCCCTCTCGGTCTCTTCGTTGCGCTCCCGGGCATCTGCCGAAAGAGGTGGAACAGACAACGAGCAGTGCTGCTGGGGCTCATCCGCCCGATGAGAGCGTTGGAAAAGCTTGGAAAGCACAAAATGGGAACTCTGATCTCCAAAAAAACACGCCATACACAAAAGAAATGTAAGCTTGTAAACAATTGACAAGTATGTGAATCTTGAGACTGCAACACACGACCATGTCCTGAAAAAAAGTATCTCTTATCAGTAACTGCCACCAAGAGACCTTTGCTGGTGGGAAACCTTGGGACGGATGTGAGCGCGTGCTTGCACAGGTCAACAATCCGCAGTGGGACCACCAGGAACGATCGCTGCGAGAACACGCGCAACGTGGTCGATGTCTTTCTACGACGTGCGACATGCTCCAATGTCAAAGGGTCAATGTCCATTCCGCGCACAGATTGTTTCAGATGATTAAAACGCTCTCAAAATTAGATCTTTGCAGGAAGACAATTACATGGATGATCCAGGTGGTCCTGCGCATCTAGTAGGAAAGTGATGGAAAGTGTATGAATTTCTGGTCGATGCCGTAGGTGTTGTGGTAGAACCCGTCGCCCTCTGACGCCCCGACCCACTGCGGCCCAACCAGTTGGGCCAAGCCACGCGACCTGGGGGACCGACCGAGGGTGAGGTGCTCAAACGACTGGACAGTCACCCACCAAGAAAGAACATAGATAAGAAGAACGGACTTCTCCGTTTTTGTCTTTATGTCTGGGGAAGCTCCTTCTTATCTAAGTTCATGACTTCTCCTTTGTTTGAGGAAAGGGCGTATGATTTCTGATTCATACAGAATCACCTGGTAAGCACATCCCACCCCTACGGCGCCTTCTTCATTTCCAAGATTCTCTGTCTTGTTGGATGGATCTCCGATCACTGATCCCTACACCAGCACCAGCTTGTTTCGGCATTCCTCCAAGACTCAGGCCCAGACTGCCGGCGCTGGAGACAGGGCCGGCATCAAAGTGGACCACAGGCCTTCGCCAAACTCACCAGGTGGAAAAAATCAAAAGCCATCTTAGGGACATTGACGTGAACAAACCCAGCCATCCGTTGGTACTGGCCGTGATGCTGTTCGCATATGTTTGGCCTGGAACTGTTCCGTAGAATTGATCAACATCATGAAGCATCCAAGACTTGAGCGGCTTTGAGCGGCTCACGGCTCTTGCCTTTGAGCCTCTCGATTGAAGCCCCATTGCGGCATGGCGGAGTTTGGCTGTTTGCTTGTCCAGGATTGCAGCTTAAAACACATGTTTGGAGACCTTAAAGTTGTACATTGCATGTGAATGTGAAGACCATGTCCATTCTCCTGTATTCCGCTCGTCAGAACAAGTTGGTCCAAGCACAGGAGCTGGTCTTGTTTGGGCACATCGGGGTGCATGATGTGGTCTGAAGGCCTCACCACACAGGTTCAGTAGTTCTGTAGCATCTCTAGCCGTTCAGCCAGCAATGACTGCACATCTGCACTTGGAAGCTGCAAGCACCCCGAAGTTCCGCAGAGTTCTTGCTGTGTTATTATCATCTGGCAGCACCCAAATCCACTGGTAAGATATGGTAAGATAGAACCTTTAAAAGAAGATGTGGTCGAACCCAAAAGCGATACTGCTTCACCTGGCTACCTGACGGCTCCAGCTGCGTCATGGCGTGTCTTTTCCTCTTGCTCCACGGTAAGCCGCGCTTGGAACAGGCCTCACTAACCAAGACTGGGACCACCAAGCACCCAGCTTCACGTTCGTACGTTGTTGTGCGTTCAAATCGAATTGAAGGCACAGGAGGAAGCAATACCATAAGCATCCACAAACCCATAAACCATCATTCCACGGATGTAGAACTGATCACTGATGTAGAACTTGCATGGGTCTTTCGGCATCCGCATGTGTCATTCATCTTCATACACTCAATTAGCTTGCGGTTTTGTAGACTAGAGTAGGATGTCCAGCATTGTTTCGTGTGCACGAAGAATACTTTGTGTCATGCTACCTCAGCACTAAGTTCGGTGACACAGAATCTAAGCTTCTGTAGCTCGCTTCTGCGATGCAACCCAGCCCAGCCTGGCTGTTGATTGCAATGCCCAGCCAGAATTAGGCTGCTGCCTTGCCTGAGAGCACAAAAACTCAACTCACTGTCGCCAGGTTCGCCTACAAAACTCCAGCACAGTTCTATGATGTTCTATGTCACTTTGCAGCTTTGAAATAGAGCAGAAACATTCAGAAACCCTCTTTTTGCCGCAGGCAGTTGGTTGCTTCACATGCGACACCGCATTTGCGGTGCCTGTGATCCACCTGTTTTCGCAAAATACGCTCGCGTCGCTCCGGCGCCTGAAACGTGCAAACGTCGCAGGGGCCATTGAGACGCGAGGGTCTGCGTCCCTGGGAACCTTTTGAAGGTCAGGAACGGAATCGAAATTTGTCAGAATTAATGTTAGACTTGGTCAGACGTCCGAAGCCTCTAAGAGATTCCATACATGCATCCTGATCTGCTTGGAAACAAACTGTCAGGTTGCTCACCAAAAAGTAAAAAATATGTTTTAAAACCATACCTACCATACCCCAAAAGCAACAAGTATGCAGAAGAAGGCAAAAGGTCAACGTGCCAGAAATCTTCCAAGCTTCGCAAAGGTCTGAAGGTCAAAGCTCATGACCCTCTTGATGTCCATTGCACACATGCGCTGTGTATATTCTTGGCCAAGGTTGGCCCTCATGCCACCCCTCTTGACGTCAAGGGCTGCAAGGGCCATAGATCTGCTGACGATGTCGACAATCGTCCCCGCCCTTCGAGTTCGCCGGAGGGGGCCCCGGCGAGCCCAAGGCGATTCTTGCCATCCAAAGTTCGCAAGAGGCTCCATGCTTCCTGCGACCAGCAACATGTCATGTCTATATATATAATATATTATATATATAGATATTACATCCAATATCATACGTTACAAATATCGACTTGGGCTTCGTTCTTTGCTTTCCGCCTTCATTTTCAAAGGATTGGATCTGGTTAGGGTACTATGTCCTGTGTGTTTACAAACAAAGTTAAGTTTAAGTGTCTGCAAAGGCAATACTTATTATTTTCTTGAACCCATGAAGACAGAACAATCGAAAAGGAGAGTCTCAAGAGGAGGCTTTCTTCGTTTTTGGTTTTCGGGCTTCAGTTTTTCAAGTCCTGTGCGAATTCTCACTCCCAATGAACTTATAAAGCCGAGCTTCGTATTGGAAGGAAGGCTGACTGGCGTGGTGGTCCATGGCCTGTCTAATCTGGTCTCGCACACCCATGGACAGGAGCTGGTTGTGAGCTGAGCGGTCACGGTCCTCAGATTTTGGAAGGCCTGGGAAAAGTGTTCTCACCAGTTTTCTCCCTACAAATTCCGAGGAGAACATAATGACGTAAGAATTCATAAGAAATCATCTTGAAACAATTCTAGGGGTCGCAGCACGGCACCAGGCAGCGAAGTGCAAAGCAGGCGTTGCGCTGGACGTCCGCGTCATTGGGATGCTCGCGCATGCTCGTAAGAACCTACAGCCCAAGTGCTGTCAGCATTGAAGGCAACGCACACAAGTACTGTGATCACTGCAGGATCCTCTTATACGCAAAGCTGGGTCCGTCCTAATCACTGGCACATTGGATGATGCTGATGGATAAAAGAGCGCTTGATCAAACCATAGTGGTCATTTAATCATGGTCGGTGACTAGGATAGATTTAAGGTGTGCGGCCGCGCATTGGCATGGACGGGTTTACCTTGAGATATTTCAAGAGCGGCAGTTTCTTTACCCACACCCATGTTGGGCCCAAGCCACTTCTTCAGTGCAAGGAGGATTTCGGTTCAGAAACCTCTGCCGAAGCTGGTCATGGGCAGCAAGCTTGGCAATCAATCCACAGGCTGCGGTTTGGAGAAGAGCATCTTTGCGGTTGCGACCTTCAGACAGGTTGCTTAGCACCGCCTCCACAAGATCATCGCTGAGCAAATCGTTCGCCAACTTCCCCCGGATTGAATCGTTCGATGCCAAGACTTCCAATGCAAAGCATGCATACCTGGGCAGCAGGTGCAGAGGCTGCATTTACAACATTTCACAATGCACGCAACAAGCACGTTACCTCAAGTGACTCAAGTAGATTCAAATAATTACATCACACAGCAAAGCTGACTGCAATTGCAAAACCCAAATACTTTCGAAGAGCCTTGTCCTTTTTTTGCATACATTTAAGTAGCATGGAGGGCCCATCCTGGGAGAAGAAGATCTTGTTATTGACGCTTCCTGATGCAAGGTTGTACACGGCTCGGCATGACCCTCTCAGAACAGGACAATCGTCCTCTTCATACAGGTACGCATCCATTGCCAGCAGGACTGCCCTGCCTGCGCCCTCGTGCACCAGTTTTTCTTTCTCCTGGGGCCTTTTACCCTGGGAAGCCCTGCTAATCAAGTGACACACATTGCCAGCAATGTACCCATGCCCATGCTCTCCGCTTTCAAGCATCTTGAAGATCTTCTGGTGGTTGGTTCCTTTCAAACTAAAAGTTGCCAATGCTGCAACTTCGACTGGCACACGCTTGTCAGCTTCATCAGCCATGCTGATTGCATCTTCCGACAAGATCATCTCAAGAGGAAAAACTGTTGAGCAGTTGGCTTTGTGCGCACAGAACGTTCTAAGGACCCAGAAGAGCACATACCTGACCCCATTGCACGCAGCCAAGTACCAAAGAATTCGGCTCTGCTGCTCCACAACGACGTCCAAACGCTCTGTGTAGAAGATACGTACGAAGACCGTCGCCAGCACAAGCTCCACTAAGTGGGACACCACCTAAAGCTGTGCATCGAGGAAAACAATTGCCCCAAAATGCCCTGAGTCCAACAAAAGACAGCGTGGAACAACTATAAACTCACCTCCTTCAAAACACTTGAGTCAAATTCCTAGCGACCACCCCGTCTGAAGCCTCAACTTGGGGTTTATATGAAGTATATAATTATACCTGACTTGTCCTCCGTTTTTCAATTCAGGGCACATGCAGTGCAGCTGGAGTGGAAAGCACTGCACCACCATCTTTTCCAACCAGCAACATGGGTTCGAAGGTGCCAATGGTGTTGGGCACGGCATACACCAGCTTCTTCCAAGTACAAGTGCAGCGCCAAACTAAAGCCGCTTGGACGAGGCAATCAACAGCCCAAAGCAGGACACCGCTATATCTCAGACCAAAGATCTGAGCATCATCTACGATCAGCTGGAACAAAGGGAAGAAAAGAATCTGGCTGCTCACCTCTGCCAAGCGATACGCCACTGTGAGAAGGAAGGGAGGAGATAGCATTTCCGCTAAGCCCACCACTATCCCTTGGCCTTTTATTTCACGGGAGACATGCCCGCGCTTATCCAGGTTTGAGAATGACTTGACGATTGACCCAATGCTGAAAAGTATCGAAGTAATCGTCAGTGGGGTCCAGCTGATATCTTGACGCAGAATGGCGTAGGTCTGCACAAAGATGCTCAGGAGTGCCTCTGTAAATGCCTCACCTGCTGTTGCTCTTGCGAGAAGGGAAGAAACCTGATCGCGTAAATAGCCATCTAGGGACTTGTGCCTAGGGTCAGTCCCGGAGCCATCAATAGCCGCACAGAAGAGGCCAATCGATTGCACAACCACAGCTAAAGGCGTTAGCTGCAAAAAGATCATCACAGTGAGCAACAGGCTATCCTCTGAGAAATCATGAACTCCAAGCACAACAGAGGAGATAGAGCCTGCTAGGATTGCAAGGCCGTTCATGACGGCAAATGCATAGTCCTCCTGAAGCCAAAACCTATGCATCATGCCAATGTCACTGATGAAGTCGCCGTAGAACATGAAAACGGGAAAAATGAACTTGACCAGAACCTGAATCTTTCCGATGCTGTTCAACAATGCTTCTTTCGATGATCGGTTGGCATAGAATCTTGGACTGATCATTCCTCCTCCAATAGTGAGGAGACCGACACTGATAATGATCACCAGCGGCAGCCACCACTTTTTCAATAGAGACAGCACACCAACTTCTAGCTTCCAACAAAGAGCCCATATAGAGCCAGCCGCTAGCAAGCAGATGAGAAATAGTTTAAAAAGAGGCCGCCAAGAATGACCTTCGCTGCGTTCGCCTCCATTCGCTGTCAGGATGCGGCTTGGAATCGACTTGGGCGCATCTAACTGGACCCGAATCCAGCTTTGCCTGGTCGTCGTCGATCTTCCAGGTCCTCCATGCTCAGCCTGGCCATCTTCAACCGTCACCAGGGGATCGTACTCCCCTTTCGGGTGTCTCGCACCCATGGTGACTTGAACTGCCTTGGACGTCTTGGGCCAAGGAGCTTAAGCTAAGCAAGCCACACTCAACCATGAAAAGCACTCAGTGTGCATGTGCATGTGTGTGTGTGTCGGGGGGAGGGGGTCCTGGAAATCATCAGTCTATTCAAACACCTACATACGTCTATTAATAACCAAGATGTCGATCAAGAGCTGTCGTCTCAACTTAACTATTCAACTTTGCTTCTGCTCTGACTTCCAACGGCAACTCTGATTCCTCACACCCAGTTCCACGACCACAAAGCACCCCGAAGAAGCCAAGAATTGAACCTGCAAAGGGCGATCGGCTGGCATTGCAGCTCTCGAACTGGCCGCTGCCTGGGTCGAAGCGGTGCGGAGGCCGTTTGGTCGCCGCTCGGGGTCCGCTGGCAGCCCAGGGGTCGCGGAAAGGCTCCCCAAAAGGGGAGTTGCGAACCTCCGGAGTATGTTCTGTTTTGTTTTCAAGTGGCAGAGAACTGCTCAGTAAACCAGAGATTTAAGTCGCTGGTACGTTTCTTGATGTGGCTTGCCTGGCTGGCATTGTTTCGACCACTCCTGTGCGAAAGCTGTGCAAAGTTATGCAAAAAGTGGCGAGAAGGACCTTCCACGTTGTCACTTCATGCTTCTTCACATCAATATGCAAATATAATGAAATGTCAAAAGGCGCTGGCCTACCGGTGTTCGCAAAGCAAGTGATTCTTGTAAGGTGAAGAACATCAGACTAAATCAGACCCGGCTCCATTTCCAGTTGCATCAGTTGCGTGGCCTCGCCTGTTGCAACCCTGCCATCCCCATCCACTGCGCTCTGAGCGGCCATTGAAGCACTGGCTCCAGCAGAAGCACATTGTAGGCGTCGATGCCATGCTGAGCCCAAAGCCACAAAATGCCACCTGATCGCTCTGAATCGCCCCAACGTGTCAAAACCTGGATGCAAACATTGGGAATTGACCCAGACCATTCCGGGCCTTTGACACCTGTCGGAGGTTTCTTTCAACGATAAGAAGGTAAACAGTTCCGCGAACATTCGCTGCTGGATGTTATAGGTCACATGACTAAATATGGATCCAAACGGGGAAATCCACTGAGAACACGGTTTGCTCCAAGGCTTCGCCAACGGCCTGCCAAGCCAAACACCATGGGCTGCACTGCAGCAGGTGGAGCAAAGTCCGTGCTGTGTAGGACCTCAAAAGCGGTCAAGCCATGGGAAGATCCTCACATCGATTGCTGTACCAAATCTAAAGTTCTAAAGCATGAAAAAGCCTCATCAATAACAGTTGTCACAGTAGTTCAAACAACCTCAGGAACGGTTCGAAGTTAGAAGTTACAGGTCCAATCAATGCCTGAGGTCGACTCTTGAAACGAGGAAACCTTTCTTCGGCCCGCTGAAGCTCCTGAGAATCGCCCACACGGAAGGCATGGCGTGCTCAGGAGCTCATAAAGCATCCAATTCTTGACCCGCAAGTGCTCTGTCTTTGCAGTAACATACCAGCATGATCCAACATGTATGTACTGTATAGGTGTTTCTTTATCAAAAGGTTGTGACCAACAAAAAATCACTTGCACCTCCAAAGGATGCTGAAAAAAGAATCACACGGTGCACCAACACGAAAAGGAAAGGACGGCGTTTAATTATTCATGTCACTGTGATGATGGACTTCTTGAGTCAACAGGTCCTGTGGCCATGAAAGCCAGAAGCAAGGCAGCCAGAGAAAAATAATCGATGCAAAGAGAAACATTAAAGAAACAAAACCAAGAGGCCAGCAGGCAGTTCAGCGTGCATGATCTTCAGATGCCCGTTGTCACCTCCAGTGACAAAAAGAGCCGCTTGCATTTCCTATGACCTATGACTCTGACCCTGTGGCTTTAAGACATGCTGCATGTCGGGGAGCTTCAGCTTCAGCCATACCGTGTTGAATGATAGAAGTACCAGCGTACATATTTACATCGTTGCAGGGCTCTGGCAAATACAGAGCTTCTCAATGCAGCTGCTTTACAGATCGGTCCGCTTCGGCAATCCCTTCGCAGGTCTGCCATTTCACAGCACACTCAAACCAGAAAAACATAGAAAAAACCAAAAAAGTCGTCGTCACGCCAGGGAACCTGCACGGGAATGGGGTTAGTTGTAGAACTTGTACATCACTTGTTCACCCAATGTCTTTTGCTCCTTTCGTTCGCACCCTTTGTTGGTCACGAACGTGAGATCAGTGAAACCGTTCCCGATCCTTCCCACGAAGATCTTGGGGCTGCAAGATATTAATATCCCACGAAGAAGCACGTCTTCCCGTCCCACCTTCAAAGACCAATACTAAACATAGCGGCCCCGGCTGGTCAGAGATCCTGAGTGCAGGCAGGATCTCAGTGTACCATGAAAACCGAATCGTTGGACTCACTGATAGAGGTCGGTAAGGTGGTATGGGACTTATAGGACATAATAGGTTCAATCTGTTTCCAGACCTTCAGAAAATTTGTGGCATATTCTTTGACCAGGTTTCAGCGGCCTATAGGTCCTAGAGGGTCCGAAAGGATTCTGAAGATGCCTACAGTCCAACGGCACAGCGAAAACGTATCATCATGGATCATACTAGCCTCTTTCACAAATCGCCCATGTCACCTCGTCACATCCACCTCATCTCACCGATTGCTTCCGCCGCGGACGGTGGACGACGGGATCTCGGTGGCCCGGACCGCTCGAGCGCCTCGCAGGGCTCCAACGCCCCGGCGTAGCGTGGCGGCGAACGGTTGGAGCCTCGTGAAGGCGGCGAACGGGTGCAGGGTTTGGGAAGCTGGGCATGGAGGATTCAGAGGTTTCGTCAAGTTCTTTCATTGTGGTTGCGATACTACAGTACAGTATATACTACTGAAAGTGAAGTCTGGAAGAATGATAAAGAATGAGAGCTAAGAGGGCAAGGGTTTCAACCTGAAGGTGCAGTGGAATTCGGTTCACGCTGGCCTGCACTCGACTGCCATGGCCAGTCAAGCCTCAGGGTCAAGTCACTGCAGTGAAGAGTCTCTACAAGTCTACAAAAGGTGGAAGAAGAAAACAAACCTCTAACAGTAACAGAATCTCTCTCTATCAATCCCAAGCTGTAAGGAAAATACTCTCGCAATCTCTTGCTTTTGGGCCAAAGGTGCGTCGACAAGTATGTTCTGAAGCATAGAGTCTCTTTTTGAACCGATGTTGTTTCACGTTACTATCCGGTTCGATCCAAGCAAATTGAAGCCCCACGTCTCCCTGAATCAAAGCCCTGCACACTTTGTGGAGTGTCGGTTCTGCTTCCGCCACAGTGAGTGAAAACACAATTGGCTGATGTTGGCTGGGTCACGTCGGCGCAAAGTCCAGGCATCCAATCTGTCCACAAAACCTGGCCACAGTAGCAGCCCTATGGATCCTACCTCCTGAGAGGGTGATTGTTCACACCTTTTTTGTAGGTCTGGAGGGTCCAAACACTTCAGGTACTTCGATCTGTACAGGGCAGGATTATTAAATATGATCAATAATGCACAAAAATGTCAATGCGCATGGGAGGGAAAAGCCAAAGTGGGAGAAGAGGAGGACCAGCATTGCGCCTGAAAACTAGACCCCACAGACAATCCTCCAATGAAAAGGGTGGAAAAAGGGTGCAACTAGCCCACCCAAGCCTGAGAGTGAAAGGCTAAGCACAAAAGCAATAATACCCTCGTTGTAGGCAAGAATGTTTCTCTTCTGTGCGCATTTGTCTTGGCTTAAATGTATAAATCAGGCCATCGCTACTAGGGTGGAGGCCGCAAATCCCACTTTCGTCCACTTCGCATCTGCCCTCGGTCTGCCTCTCTCCCACCGGTTCCATCTCGCGCACTTGCGCGATGCCGTCTGGATCCCTCGCGTCGCGCAAGGCATAGCTGGCCTGGGCTCAGAAAAGTCAACGATCTAGGCATCAAAAAGTCCAAAGCCTTGTAGATGTTCTCATCTTCTTTGATGTTTTGATGGGAACCTATAGAACTGATGAGAACTGATAAGGCTAGTTCAAGAGCTAACATGAAGTGAGTCAAGTAATTACTTCGTAATTGCGTCTTGAATCCTCTCTGAGCTTTGCACGAAGCGAGTGCTGACCTACAGTGATTGCCAGGGCATGAAGCTCTCCCAGGGCCAAGAAACATTGCTGAAAACTCCATGTGCCTTCCATGTCTAAGGAAACTGGACGACTTTGCTGCTAGACTTTACAAAAATTCAACAATCTTGAGATATCTTGATTGTCTATGCAAATTGAGCACTCCCTCTTTTCAAACACATCATAGTTTGGAATCCAAAAACGGAAATGTTGTAGAACTTCATGTGTAAAGTGCTGACAACGATATTCCTGTATAATACACGAAAAGTCTGAGAACTTCTGAATCGAAAACCAACCGAACCCTCCAACAAACGCACTCCCCTTCTGTGAGCTCTTGGACTCGGTCCGACCTCGAGACCTCTCCGGATCGCAATCCAACATGGCGTTTACGTGTCCCTCCTTGTAACACTTACTTTGCATGTATGTATATGTTTTAATAGTGTTTATCTTTTTTCCGGGCCTAATGATGGTTGATACAACCTTTGGGTTGGACGTGATTGCACACATGATTCGTCGTGTCCATCTGGTGTTTCACTCCATCTCTTTCTCTGAAGTGATTCCAGTACTTAGACGATCTTAGGCCTACTTACTACATCTTAGTACTACATATGACTTAGTACTTCTAGTACTTCTATAGTTGTAAATCTTCCACTTCTCCCCATCGACTCCAAATAATTACCTTGGACTTCCATTCGACACCCGAGGCCCCCGGCGGCGATCGTCGAATTCTCCATGCAACGGAGGGCCTCGATGCGGAAGAACGAGCCATAGGGCCACTGCACCGGAAGCTCCTGCCCCAGCGTCTGTGACCCGTGATCAACGATAAACCTCCAGTGATAGAGTGCCACGGGCTTGGTTGATTAACGAACCAAACGAAACACCACAGGTTTGATAAGTCTTAATCAACTATATAACATAATCGACTATTTACAGCTACATATTTTGCCGGCTTTGCAAGTTGAAGGTGCTTTGGTCTGTGTATGTCTGTGTATGTCTGTGTGTTCGCTTTGTAATTGGCATCTCTTTCAGATTGAATCGGCTCTTCCACAGGAGCCCCCCCAGAAGTCCTCGAAGACCAACTCATCCGATTCTTGAAGCCTTCGCTCCTCCACGATGTAAGAGACCTGGAAAAGAGAAAACCAAAAAGACCAAGCATTACATTATGTCCAAGTACACTAGCGATTAATTTAAAGTAACTGTATATGTTATGTCCAAGTAAAGACCAATGGAGATGATTAATCACGGAGATGATTAAATTATATAATTGTGTCCAAGTATATAGTACACTAGCAATGGCCTCCAACCTCCTACCGATGGCCTGCAACCTACTAGTGATGGCTTCCGCCTAATACCGATGGCCTAACCTATGTCAGTCACATGTCCATGACTATATTATATACATATACTTACAGTAACAGTATGTTACAGTAACAGTATAGTAGTATAACTACATGGTTTAACGTGGCTTGAGAGACCTGGAACAACGATGAAAACGTCCAGTCAAGACATGTCAAGACCCTTGTATAGCCACAACTGAAGCCTTGGTCTGGCGAAAGGGTGAACGGCATCGTGCCTGGAAGTCAAACCTCATCATGTCTGTCTCACGGAAGGCTGCAATGAAGCCAACACCTGACCGGCGGAGCAACGGCCCTGCTGACATGGAAGGATCGGCCCCCGAAATACACCATGCTAGCATGCTTGGCAAGCTCATGCCAGCTCTGAAGGAGCCTAATATGGGTGTGAGTGTTGGTTTCGTGTCTTCATGTTACATGTTGAAACATGTTGAAACCATTTGAAACCCAAGTCTCCGGCTTGATTGATTAGATTGGAATGGTCAATGTAACTCATGAGCCCACCAAACCTGCTGACGTGGATTTCAGACAGGACGCGCAAATGTCAAATCCTGTCAATGTGTTTCCTGGCTCACGTTTCCTGACACGCCAAAAAAAAAACAAAGTTTCCTGCACTTCTCCTTCTCCTGCCATTCTACCCCTGGCCCCAGCCTAGCCACATCAGCTGCGTAGTGCGCGTCAGACAGCTCACGGCGCGCCAGGGCAAGCGGATCGGTTTGTAGAGTTCCTGTCAGCCGGTGCCTCAAGCCTCGCTTGTGGCCGTAGAAGGCTTCCGGGGTGCTCCCAAGTCATTCTCCACCCACAAACACACCGGACGTACGGCAGAAGTCATACGCCTTCAAAGGATCTTAACTGAATCTCAACCCAAGAAAACCCCAAGAGTCATGGCCTCCAAGCTACTAGCGATGGCCCCCATAATTTTGATTCCATGGATTCTCTGAGTGTGGAGGTTTGTCTCGTGGCGTGGAAAGAAAGACATGGTCGCATCTTCTTCGTGATGCGACCCGGTCGTCCTCTCACGACTAGAGGTCAACAACTTCGGGTTTCTTGCCCCCAAAACATCGCAAAAAGGCGAAAGTCTGAGCTCTGAGCTGGTTTGATGCAAAAGGGTCCACCTCCCTCTCTACATGTTGTCAGCTCTTGCCAATATCGAAAGATCTCGAAAGCTCCTTGGTCTCCTTTTGCGTGAAGGCTCCGCTAATGGCAGCCGCCCGCGGCGTGTCGGGGCCCGACTTTGGGGCACCTACAAGCAAAAGCCATGTGAACAAATACTGCGACCCCAAAGTAAGTGTGGGTCAAAGAATGTTAAAAGCCAAGGATCTTGGCTGACCCCCGAACATGAACGGACAACCAGCGGTGTTAACCTACCAGGACCTACCATGCTTTGGGAGGCTGGGTGTTGATTCACGGCCAAGTTTACATGCATTGGAAATCGCTTGGGGCCATGCAAAAGCTCCAAGAACTGTAATGGTTACCCCTGCTATTCGCGGCCCTTGTTCTCCTGATATCCATCTTGGATGGAAGCAAAGCTTTGAATGGTGGAAGAATGTTGAAGACAGAACATTCCATGCAACGCAACAGAAAATTCCATGTGTTGCACATCTTGTCGCGCACATCCCAAAACCATGGCCCGCCATGGCCCGCCTGCCGGCTCCGGCTTGGCCACTGACTTCACACCAGAAATCCTCAACGGGAAGAGTTGAAGAACAATGGAGCTACCTTAGAGGTCTTGAAGTAGAGCTGGATGTCGAAGGTGCTTGCTGTGAACTAAACATATCAATCGCTCTTTATTTCCTGCAAGAACAGTTTCATCGGGTGTCATCAAGTTCCAAGCTGCAAATCATCTACCTGAACTCGCTAGCCAGTCATCACCAGCGCTTGCAACGATGATTCAAGTCTCGGCATCTGTGTCTAATTACGGCTACACCATCCTCCGCTTTGAGTGAAGTTGTCGCGATTCTTGTGCGCGCAAATCTGGCATAAGTCTTCAAGTACAAAGGCATATCAGATGTGCCCTGATGATCACTGACGTATGTTGACCAACTTTCCAACACAACCATAGGGCGTCCAATCAGATGAAGACTGACCCGGCCCACTTCGTTGTCTTGTGGCCCACATGATCCACTACCCTGGGCCCGTCGGTCTTCCCATGCGTCTTCCCCGCCTGTGCACGTGGCTGATGAGCTGTTGGAATTTCCTCACCGCTTTCAGGGTCTCGTCCAAGGTGAGCACGCGCATGGCCCCTCGAGATCAACGGTGCAAAGATGTGCTGTCAGAGCTATGACAGCTATGAGGTTCCAGATGGTTCCAGATGGTTCCAGAGGTCCAAAGACAAAGGACAGGTCATTGGAACCCTGGAACTTGACAGGTCAGGTGTGGAAGTTGCAGACCCATTCTATATAGATCAAATCGGTTTCTTGTCCAGGGTTCACACGACGCACAACGTAGGATTGTTTGGCGATATCATGCTTGGGATCCAAGGAGGTTTATGTCATCCATGGAAAATGAAAAAAGGCACCGGAGTATAATTACTGTACATAAACTGTTGCTTTCACATAAGACGTACGAAAATCTGCGGACGCAGAAAGCACGTCCGACATAAGATTCTGAAGACAGTATAAAAGAGTAAGATTTTAATGATTTTAGAAGCAGTTGCAATCTCCACTGGCGCCGCGCCTGGACTTGTAAATAGAAGCTTATACTTCCCTGTGTCTGATGTGTTTTCCTGGGCGAGAGTCTCAAAGTGTCAGACGATGAAACTGGAAACGCATTTGTTCAATCACTGAAACTGGCCAGTGCAAAGGACCGGCACTGGCAGCTGTTTAGCAACAACGACTCCTCTGTTCAGCTGTTCAATCCCAGCATCAATGTCCCAATAGAAAATGTGCGTCTCACTGCCCCTGGAGTAGTAAAAGGGGCCCAGCACTGTACCTGGCCGCGGTGCTGGCCGCGGTGCCGGGCCGCGACACGGCTGACTGAGTCGTTGGCGTCAAGTGGGGTCGATGGGATCCAGAACAGCATGATGTAACATGTATTTTGCGGGTGGAAACCCCCAAACGGTCCAACTGAGCCTGTGTCAAGAATGCCACTAAACACACTAAAAGCTGCGTGTTTTTCTTTAAAAGGAGTCCTCATGGCTCATGACTCTCGTGACTCTCGTGTTTCGTCCAATTCTTTGCACCCAGTGCGTGCTCGACCAGTCGTTCGTCCCAGTCACCTGAACAGGGTTCCACCAGCCGTTCATCCTGTGAGAGTTGCGTCCAGGATCGGTTGTCCACCTGGCGCGGCATTCCGAAGGACCGGTTTCGATGGACCGGCGGTCACCGATCTTCCAGGATCGGTTCCGGTCGTTGATCGGAAGAACGCCATCCGTCAGTGCTGGTTGAACGGTTCAGTGCTGAAAGTGAAGCTCTCTGCATCTCGAGCTGGTAGAAGTTATGGTCAAACTACAGGTGTGTCATGTCAATGATATGATCATGGGATGGAAATGATTGATGACATGGCACATGACCGAGTTCAGGATGATTGGATAACTTGAAAACGCCTCATCAGGAGGTCTCGTCATGCGTTTGTACCAGTCCATCATTCGGAGAGCAGTAGACAAAATTTACAAGGACCTCAGCCTGTGACTAGCAGCCTAGCAAAGCACCTGCATCTCTGAGCCGATCTCCAGCAACAAATCTGCGAAGGCATCCTGACCCACAGCAGATGGCAGTTTTGAGTTTACGGGAGTTTCAATCACAAATCTGAAATGGTCTTGGAATGAGTGGATCTGTTGGCGTACCATTGCATCTTTTCAAATAATAGAATTGTCCAACCCACTTCGATTTCCTAGAGCAATATGAAGCAATCTGCCCAAGAAGGCCAAGTCACTGTTTCCAGTCGGAGGTAATCGCTGAACTGGTTCACTTCTCTCTTCCTTGCTCAACAGCAAAATGATAGAATGGCAATGCTCACCTTTCAACAGTGTTCTCTCTTGTGCCATGTCCGGAATTCTGACTACAAGTTACAAGTCCTTACCAGCAGCTAAAGCATTGCATAAGCTGCTCTTTACGATGCTGGAAGCAATCAACAATGACGCACCCCAGAGTTTACTGGTCTGCCTCTCAATGCGCGCGTCTCCGTACGTTTCCCTCCGTTTGCGCCGAGGAACTGTGAAAGAGGCAGCCAATCTCCAGGTACCTGCCACGGTGGCTCCAAGGCAAGGACGTTCGAGGACTGACGTGAAAATATGTGAAAGGCTTTTGGCAAAGAGCCGTCAGTCAAAAGTTGCAAGCAAACACTTGGGCAGCCTCACTGCCAACACAGGCTTGTTGGGACTGGGCGCTGCGGCGCACCTCTTCCCAGCGCCTCAAGCAGCACTGCGCCACTCGAAACGCCTCGAAGGACAGCTGTACCTGTGGCCAGGTCGATCGCTCACGGAAGGGTCTTCAAACAGCTTCCAATCACGATGACCAAAATCCTCCAAAGCATGAATTCGACTCATCACATGGAACCCAGAAAACATGCTGGACCGTGCTGGACGATGCATGCCAAGTTGGGATAAGTTGGGAACATTTTCATGAAGTCAGTCACTGTCCAACCGAAAATCCTGCCCTGTTTGCTCCAAAACCTTTCCAACCACCACTCTCCCAGCCTCTGCCAGGACCTCCGCTGGGTCAGCGCCACGGGTGAGGCTGCCACCGGTCAAGGGATCCTCCGCGTCTCCGAAGACGTCCTCGGTCTACGGTGCGGCGGTCTCCGAAGACGTCCTTTGGGACCTCAACGTCCCAATCATCCGGTTTTTCTTGGGGGGGGCTGGGGTGGGGGCGACGTCGAAATCATCCCGGTCTCACCGAAAATGATCAACAGCCCCGCACTGAATTCAACAGCTCTTCCCGCACCAACAACAGCTCTTCCGACCCAGCAAAGCACTTCCCAAACCGAAGGGTCCACTTCAATTGCATCTCCCATTCACATCCGTTCACCCTGCTGCACGCCACCAACCACACCCCACATCCCACGCCCCAGCACCCCAAGTTGGTCTCTGCCAAGGCACCATGAAGAGCACGGCGCGGAAGTGACGGGGCGTGGAGCTCTCATTGGAACTGGGCGAGGCCACCCAATGCAGCAGCTCAAACCAGGCGATCTCCTGCATTCAGACTGGGTACGAGTGGGTCAACATTGGAGGAACGAAGACTGGCCTGGGCAAGTGAGGCACATGAGGGGGTATGGCATGCGACCCAGCTGGGGCCTATCCAGTAGGGCCTTACAGTAAGGTGTAGTGCAGGGGACATGGATGAGGTGCAGAGATTCGCGGTGCAATGGGCACATGTGTTTCGGAGAGACTGAGAGGACTACAGTATACAGTCAGTGTAATTATGCTCAAATGAATGTAGATACCACAAGCCACAAGCTGATGATGATCAAATATGACCAATGCCAAAACTATGACTAAGGTGCAGCCTAGAGTCCAATGGATAAATTGCCACAGAGGCCGGATAGAAGTTCTCTTCAACCAACGCCTCCTTCGCTCTGGTGGCCAGAAACAATGCAGCGCAGGCAATCAGCGCAGGAAGGAAGCCAATGAAGGACAGGTCGAAGGTCCTGGAGATCGGCAGAGATAAACTTGAGTCTCTTGCAATCACAGGAACTTCATTCATTGAACTTCAGAATGACTCACTCCAAATTTGTAGATGCGATTCATATTTGTAGATACGAGGCTCATGACTCCTTTCTGTCAACAAGGAGTCAGACCCGTCTCTTTTTCTTCCGGTCGGTCCCCCAGCAAGGCAAGCTATGAACGTCCAGGATGGTGATGTTCACCGCCAGTGCCTGGCAGGACCGAGCCTACGGGGAAGTGAAGAAACCCACTGCGAACTCAAGGTCGTGGCCTGGAAGACCAGCGTTAACACGAAGCCGACATGGGGCACATAGAGTTGCACCATGCCTGGGACAGGGATCGCTCCGGGTCGGCTCCAGTTTGATGAAATCATCTCTGACAACTTCAGCGAAAATGCACGTCACATGAACCGGACTGCATGTCACATGAGCCGTGGAACGTCGCCCAAAGTCACCCGATTGGGTGGATATGCTGGGGATCCCTCGCTGGAGTGCAGCCACACATGCCTCCCGTTGTGGACACCATCTCCTACTATTGGTTAAAGCCTGCACGAAAAGTGTGGACGACAGCGAGAAGCTTCAGCTTCAAATACATATAACTCTACGCAACTATAGAGTTCTTTGCGGGGAGAAGAATTTCCTGCACCTGACATTGACTAGTGCCACTTCCTTTGGACCTTCCAGGGTTCCAAATAGTGCGCATGTCGACATAGATGGACTTGGGCATTTTCTTGCCTCTGCCTCCATCCGAAACACCGGCCCCCCAGACTTGGGCAGTGGATGGCGGTGGGTCGTGCCAACACCAGCGTGTGAAAAACCGCCGGTGGGCACGTCCAAGTGTTCACCGCAGCGCCGGGTTCGCGCCGATGGGGCATGGACTGCAGGTTCGCCAATGGTTCCCATTCCTTCAAGTTGCATAAACCCAGCAAATAGTAGTTGATGGACTGCAGCATGTGGCGGACCTGCAAGCTGCGTTTTTGGGTCGATCTTACATGATCTTACCAAAGATTCAAGAAATTCATGCTGGAAGAGCCCATGGTTGTCCCTCAGCGGAACCAGTTCAACCAGCGACCGGGTGGACAGATCATCCAGTTGATGCAAACACTGTCTCCCCATGCTTCGCTGCCAAGCAACGCCGAAGGACATGCAAACACGTGCATAGGCGTCGAAGCATTGCCACCTAGAACCAACGGCCAGAGTTTCGTTCAACGTCTAGGTCTAGGTCTGAGCGACTGAGTGGGGAGACAATCAATCCCTACACCTGCTGCAACTCTGCTCTGCAACTCTGGCAACGATTGTTAGCCGGTCGGCCGTTCTCTCAAGCGCAGCTTCGTTGGAGGCCGTTTTCGGTCGTTTCGACAGGCACCAAGGCCCCAATGCAGTGCATCATGTGCCAAGGCAGGACGTCAGGAGACCCACGCAACATCCCCCACTGGTTGAGCACTCCCCAGAAACGGTTGAGCAAGTTTAAAGCCCTTTTAATCGCTTCTGAAGTGTCCTACTTCCCAACCTACAAATGTAAAATCAATGTTAAAAAAAAGAAAAGTAATAATAGTAATAATGGTAATAATAAAAATAGTTATTGTTATTCTTAATAGTAAATCAAAGGGTTGTGATCCCTGAACAAGTAGAAAAGGGTATTCAAGCCTGGTTCCCCCTTACTTTTCGATCTCGACATATCTCAACCTAAACCCGCCCCCTTCACCCCCTCCCTCAGTCTCTGCCCGGCCTCGCTTGCAGTTGCCGAAAGATCTGCACATGGCGATGCGTCCGGAACTCCACTGCCTCGAGCAGCTCCTCTCGATGTGAACTCGGACGAAACGGCTCGCTCTCGGTCGGATTTGAAAGGGATGGTTTGAAAAAGGGCAAGGAGAAAAACCGATGGATGTCCCAAATTGGATCGATAGATTATTGATGATGCTTCTATGGATTTGTATGACGGATGGTGATAGAGCTTATGGATGAGGCGGTTTCAGGGAACTGTGGCTGAAATGTTCAAAGCTGCTATGTTTGGTCGTTCTGGTTCCTGTTTATTGTTGCGATGCTTTAAGTTGCATTGGGTATATACGTGATTTTGAACGGTTACGGCTTACCGATTGCTTTGGGTTTGCCTGCAACTTCATCCGTTGGCTGCTTGTTGCAAGTGGATGGCCCATCTGGGCATATTGACAGTCGTACCCACATCTAGATACAACCACAAGGGTTGTAGCCCTGCTGCGGGGTAAAAATATTCTTCCACAGGAAGACCTTGGTCCAGAATATGATTTGTCAGTATTGTGTAACATCTAGGTGTATATATATATATATTCCTACCTCACATGGAGCTTTTGTCAACCAATTTGCCGCTTATGACACCAGCCTCCAAAATCACCTTCCCACCACACAGCAAAGCTCCTGCTCGCGTCCCAGCATGTCGGAATCCCCTCCATAGGCATACTCACCATTCCTGAAAATCGAGCCAATGCACTGACGGCTCAAAAACATAATAATTGCCTCTGAAATAGTGAGTACTGATGATTGACAAATTCTTGTGCACAGAAACAAAGCCAAGATGCAAAAAGCAAACAAGCACGAACAAAAAGCAACATTCTCAACGGCACAAGACAAAGAGTGAACAACAATTATATTTACTGTACAAAACAAGAACCCTTGCGTAAAACCTGACAAAAGTAAAAACAAGTATGAGAAGTAGTTTCAACCTAGTCCACAGTCATAGTCCATTAATTGATACATAACCCTTCACTTCTGTCTTAAACAACTTGGAGGAATTAAAAATCTGAAGAAAAAACATCCGTCCAAAGCAGCTCATCGTTGTCCCGATCTCCAAGCTTCTCCAGCTCATCCGACGCCTTCGCTCCAGCGTTTCCTCCGGCTCCACCGGCATCCGAGGCCGTGCTGGAGGCGGTGCTGGCCATGGAGGCCGCCCCCGTGACCTGCGGAGCGTGGAGCCTGGTTCCAGGAACATGGATCTATGGAAAACACTAATAATTGCGAACGGATGGAAGGCGTGCCCCTGGCCCCGTTCTAGCCCTTAGTTTAACATGAAGCTCGCGCGCTAAAGCTCCTTTTTACCTGGTTGGGCACTTGAGCCAAAATGGTGTGGCAAGTACCTATATAGAAGCTATACTGAGACCTCATCTCTATTGACACCCCCCACATCCGTGCTTCGACGGGGAAGGGAGATGAGTGGATGTAAAAGCCGGAGAACGAATCATGTTCTCAAAAGTGCGTTGGAGGTCAATCAGTATGTCCTATTGGTCTGAATTAGCAAACGATCTTGCATTCGCTTGAGAGTTGGGTCAAACAGGTAACGGAGCTACAAACGGAAAACGTGCATCTACCTATGGTATCCTGCGATTACCGACGGTGTGAAACACAATCCTATTTCACTCCCATGATGCCAAAATGGTCATCATGAATTACCCAAGATCCCTCAGTACTTGAAGTAC